ATTATTATTCTTATTCTGATTCTTATTCTTTATTCTTATTCTTATTCTTATTACGGTTATTAATAATATTTGTATTACTATTATTATTATTATTATTCTTATTACTATTATTATTATTATTACTATTATTACTATTTTTTATTCTTATTATTATTATGATTATGATTATTATTATTGTTTATTATTATTATTATTGTTATTACCACTATTCTTATTATTATTATTATTATTATTTTTATTACTATTATTATTATTATTTTTTCTATTATTATTATTATTTTTATTATTATGATTCTAATTGTTACTATTATATATATATAATGATAATATATATATATATATACTTATGGTGTCTTCATTTTTTTCATCGTCGGATCTCTGCGTTTAGAGTCGGCCACAGGGCTGCAGGCGCCCTGCAGGTCCCCAGGCCCCTGCCGGTCTTCTGGTCGCCGGGCCGGGCCCGGGGAGGCGGGGTGCCGCAGGCGGTTGCCCAGTCCTGCCGCGCCTCTGCCCGCCGCGGCTCCTGGGCCTCCGACGGCCCGACCGTTGGCGCCGAGCCTCCGACTTCCGACGCCCTCCCCGTGCTCTTGTTCTTCCGTCCTCGCCTGGTTTCTGTGGCCTGGGTGCCCGGGGACCGGTGGCCACACGCGACCCCTACCCCCGCCCCCTCCACGATTTCTTTAGGGGGGTGCTCTTGTTCTTCCGTCCTCGCCTGGTTTTTGCGGCCTGCCTGGGTGCCCGGAGACCGGTGGCCACACGGGAACCCTGCCCCCTGCCCCCCCCACGATTTCCTTAGGGGGGGGGTGGGGGGCTCTCCTACTTCGTTCGGGAGCTCCCGAGCGGAGTGACCCCCCACCCCCTCTTGGGAATCGTGGGGGGTGGGGGGCAGGGCTCACATGTGGCCACCTAGTCGGGGGCGGAAAAGAGGGGGGTGATGACTAGGGGGGGTGGATATCATGGCGTGGGCCATGATATTTCCCCAGATTTCATGGCGCCTCTTCTTATTTCATTACGTCCCTGGCCCCCCCGCTGGGCCGCGCACATGCCGCCGGTCATGATTTGCACCCCCCCTTTTGGGCCCCCCCTTTGGCCGCTCCCGACCTAGGAGAGGCTCTCCTGACGCCGAGGATGGTGAGAGGCTATCGCGCGGTCTCTTCGAGACGCCCGAGGCGCGTGCCTCCTTCCTCTGGCGTCTGCCGCCGCTCTCCGCCCCTCTCCGAGGCGCCGCTGCCCTCCCCACCGGGTCCAGATCCCCCCCTGCCCCCCTCCCCCCCCCCTTCCCCCCCCTCCCCTCCCCTCCTCTCCTCTCCTCTCCCCTCCCTCCCTCCCCTGCCCTCCCTCCTCCCCTCCCCTCCCTCCTCCCCTCTCCCCTCCCCTCCCCCCCTCCTCCCCTCCCCTCCCTCCTCCCCTCCCTCCTCCCCCCCCCTCCCTCCTCCCCTCTCTCCTCCCTCCCCTCCCCCCCTCTCTCCCCTCCCTCCCTCTCCCCTCCCCTCAGCCGCCGTCCCGGCTCAGGGGCCCTGGGTGCAGCTGCCCCGTGGCTGCGTGCCCCTCGGGACATCGGCCACGCGCGGGCCCGCCGCCGCCGCCATTGGGCCGCGGGCCAGCCGTGCTCCGCTTCGCCGCCGCGCTCCCGGCGGCGAGGGCGCTGCCGCGGCGCAGCCCTGCGCCCCGCGGCGGCGCGAGGGCGCCACCCTCGCCGCGGTGCGCCTGGCATCGCTCGGACGTGTGTATTTTTCCTTCGGCGAGGACCATCGAGGAGCATCCTTGATCATTTCGCGAAAAAACCACGCACGAAACCGAACAACACACAGGAAATGGACGTCCGAGCGATGGCCAGGTGCGCCTGGCGGCGCCCAGCGGCGAGATTGGGGCCCAGCGTCCGCCAGAGCCAGCCTGGCACAGGAGAGCCAGGGCGGCTCGCAGCCAGGCCAGGGCCCTGTTGCGAGTGCGGGCCGCCCGAGCGGTCCTGCAGCAGCACCACAGCTGCAACAGCATGCCCAGCGACCCAGGTCCACCATGGCGTTCTGCAGGTCCCGACACACGGCGTTGCGGTGCGTGTAATCATGAATTGGCAGTCGTCGCTTTCGTGTGTGCTTTGTTCTCCAGCCCCGCAGCGCAGCCACGGCCGTTCCAGAGGAAGATCCAGACCCAGACAGTCAGATGGGCATCGGGGTCAATCGACACCAGCTCCTACTACGGGAACTGGCTCACGGGCTTCTTCGGAACAGCCAGCTACAGCTCAGAGTCAGTCTTCGTCTCCAGTGTCCACTGCGCAAGGACTGATCCCTGCTTCCCCCGCAGACGCCCGCCAACATTCATGCTGGGTAGACCCACCGAGCGGGACCAAGGAGCTGGCAGCCTACAGGTCCCAGATCAAATCGACTTTGTCCCTAAAGGCCCACTTGACCAGCAAGAAGGCTCTTGCAGCCTCAGCAGAGATGCTCCGCCCCATCGAGACCGAGTACAGTGTCTATGTGTACATGCACATCCACGCCTACGCGCCGTGAGACCGAGTGGCCAACCAGGAGAAGTACCTGGAGCGGGCCCTGAAGCGTCTCACGGAAACCAAGACAGCAGAGGAGGAGGAGGCCAACATCACGCTGGCTCGCGCGGCTGCCGCTCGTGCCACCCTGCGACGCGACGCGGAGCAGGCCACCTTCTTGCTCGGTCACTTCAAGCAGTTACAATCTCAGGAAGGGCAGCAAGCCGAAGTAGCAGCAGCTGCAGCAGCATCGGCAGCCCAGCGTGCAGCATCAGCTCCACCATCCGCGCCTGGTACACCGCGCAGCGTGCGGTTCACCAGCCCGAACCAACGGCCAGAGGCTATGCAGATCGAACCAGGCCCAGCATCAGCTTCTACCCCAGGCAGCGGCAGCGTCAGGACGGCCACCAGCTCAGCCCCAGCCATACCACAGGTCATCGCCGAACTTCAGATGGGGCAGATGCAACTGACAGCACAAATGGCCCAATTTACACAGGCATTGGCGACCATTCAGATATCATTGACTTCTATTTCGACCGCCGCCTCAGCTATTGCATCAGCCTCGGGATCATCCCAGAAGAACTCTCCAGCTTCAGCTCGAGCAGCAGTGGAGGCAGCCCATCGTGTTCCAACCTCGCAGCAGCAGCAGGCTGCCCAGGCAGCTCACGCGGGATCGCTCAGCCCAGACCACTTGCCAGACTTGACGGATGCGGAGCTCAAAGCGTGCAGAGCATTGTCTGGTCAGCAGCGCAGCTCCCCACCAGCATGGCAAGTGGCAGCAGGTACCATGCCCGGCCAGGTCAAGTTATTCGACGCGTTCAAACAGCAGCAGAAGGGCACAACGAGACCACCAGAGGAGCCCGCGGAGGAGGATCAGCCACCGCACAAGTTCAACATGGTCGACATTATCGAGGAGACCAACGCAGCAGGATCCAATGCAGAGGCGGGGTTTACTTCGCCGACGGCAGCGGCCTGAGTCCATGCGAGGACCACAGGGACGGGAACCATACCCCACGCATTCGTCGGCACCTGGCACTCCAAGTATGGACGAGGCGGCCCCCCTGAGGGGCTGCAGGCGAAGTCCCCTCACACCTACCCGGAGCTTCACGGAACATTTGTTTCGATCCTGGGGCATTCCTTTTTGCCAATATAACAGAGCAGGAACTGGGCACATTACAGAGCATTTCAGTATACGTGGATGGATCGGGTGGTTGTCGTATGGGGGCCTCCGATTCCGTATGAGGTCAACCGATCCCTCGTGACCAAGGGCTTCCCTCTTGGGTTTTCGTTGTCTTGGGTACGGACGTCTCGGACAATTGCGCCCTGCTCGGCTTTTCGGCTAACACCTTAATGGTTGATGTCTTGGACCTCTGCAGCCCAGATCAGTTTTCCTTTTATGGGTGAATTATTCGCGGCCCAGTGGGCCCTGGCTTGGGTACTTCAGTTAGGCAAAGAGGCCCTGCAGCCCTTGGAGGTTCACTCCAGAGGCGACAATATGTAAGTCTTGGCGTGTCTGGCTGGGGGCTCTGCTCCATCCTACCAAGCCCAACAGCGTAGCTTACTCGTCGCCTTATCCCGCGTCGCGCGGAGATCAGTCAGGAGCTTTGGTTGTGCACGCGTGACGGGACACAGCGCTGAGCCCTGGAATGAGCTGGCGGACACGCTGGCCACCATAGTGAGTTTGAACGTTTGTAAATTGCAGCCACAACCTCCAGCACATTGGCACGATCACGTGCCTGATGTGACCAGCCTAGCGTGGTGTTGGCTGGATATAGTTGCGGACCCCATAGAGAGCTCAATATCCGCCTGCTCCCGGTGTTGTTCTCCCTGGTCTCCGAGCCGCGAACATAGGAATCGACAGCATTGCGCCGATCCCCGAAGACCGACATCCCCCGGGCCAAGCAGGACCCGCCCAGCCTCAAAACAGAGCCACCTCGAGCTTGACTCGTTCGGTTCGGGTCGTCACCGCCAACGTGCTCACCATGGACCTAAAGGCCTATCGCTTCAAAAAGTTTCAGGTTGGGCGCTGGTTTCAGCACCCCTAAGGGGAGCCGCCAGGGGTGTTCTCACGGGCCCGTTCGCGGCCAGTTGGTGGGGATGTCTCAAGCGGTTTGCTCGTTTTCATGCCCAACATCCTTTGCTTTCAGAGCAGATTGTGAGGATGCCTCAGGCGGGGCGCTGGTTTCAGCACCCCTGAGGGGAACCGCCAGGGGTGTTCTCACGGGCCCGTTCGGGGCCAGTTGGTTGGGATGTCTCAATTGGTTCGCTCGTTTTCATGCCCAACCTCCTTTGCTTTCGGAGCAGGTTGTGAGGATGTCTCAGGCGGGGCGCTGGTTTCAGCACCCCTAAGGGGAGCCGCCAGGGGTGTTCTCACGGGCCCGTTCGCGGCCAGTTGGTGGGGATGTCTCAAGCGGTTTGCTCGTTTTCATGCCCAACATCCTTTGCTTTCAGAGCAGATTGTGAGGATGCCTCAGGCGGGGCGCTGGTTTCAGCACCCCTAAGGGGAGCCGCGAGGGGTGTTCCCACGGGCCCGTTCGCGGCCAGCTGGTGGGGATGTCTCAAGCGGTTTGTTCGTTTTCATGCCCAACATCCTTTGCCTTCAGAGCAGATTGTGAGGATGTTCCAGGCGGGGCGCTGGTTTCAGCACTCCTAAGGGGAGCCGCCGGGGGGCAGGACGCTCATGAACAGACGCTCGCTATGGCATGGCATAAAACATGCGATGCACATATGGGGAGCTCTACGCAGCGAGTAAGTGTTCTTGTTGTTGTTATTGTCAGTGGTGATGATGATGGTAATGGTGATGGTGATGATAATGATGATGATGATGATGATGATGATGATGATGATGATGATGATGATGATGATGATGATGATGATGATGATGATGATGATGCTGATGATGATGATGATGATGATGATGATGACGGTGATGCTAATGCTTTTGATGATGATGATGCTGCTGATGCTGATGATGAGGGCGATGCTGATGATGCTGATACTGCTGCTGATGATGACGGCGACGACGATGATGAGGCTTATGATGAAGAAGAGGAAGAACATGCAGCTGATGCTGCAGATGCTGATGGTGATGATGATGATGATGATGATGATGATGACGATCATGATGCTGCTGCTGCTGCTGATGATGATGATGATGATGATGATGATGATGATGATGATGATGATGATGATGATGATGAAGATGATGATGATGATGATGATGCTGACGATGGTACTGATGATAATCGTGATTATGCTGCTGCTGTTTCTGATGTTCAAGAGGCTTACGCCATTCCGCCGATCCACTGAAGAGGATATTTGCGAATTACAATTTCGTATGTGTTGTTTGCCGCGTCTCGTCGTGCTGCTTGCGAGTAGTTTTTGCCGACTCGTCTTCATGTTCCTCTAATACGCCTGCTGCAGGGCTTTATGGGAACGAGGCCTAGGGAGCGGCCTCTTGAAGCCTTCTCACTCCTCGGGGACGTTCTCGGAGTCCCCTGCTGGCTTCTCAGGGGTTTCTTGGGGGCATATTCGAGGGTTTGGGGGGCCACCTTGTGGGGCTCTCTTGGACCCCTCTTGATTTTTTTTTTTAGGTACCTTATGGGTCGTCTTGGGGCCTCCTGTGCCATCTTGGGACGCTCAAAGTCAGGGTCTGAATGGGGGGACTGTCAGGCCTTTCTGGGGGGCTTCTCGGGCCGTCTTGGATTGTCAGAAGCCCGACAAGGCGAACACGCGACAATTAATCAAATGATTACCTAACAGCGAAGACTGATAGGTTTCTAATGGTCTCAAAAGAAAGCATCTTGACTCCTCAGGGGGGTCTGGGCAGATGCCAGACGGGTGCCGGGGAGAATCCGCGGAAGTCGTTTTAAGCAAACAGTTACACACTTCGTGGTCTTCGAGGTCCCAGAACTCCATTCCCGGGCCTTCGAGTTCCCAGAACTCCATTCCTGGGCATGATTTTGAATGCCCGGAGCCAACTGTAGGCCACTTCGTGCTCTTCGAGTTCCCAGAACTCCATTCCCGGGCATGATTTTTAATGCCCAGAGCCAACTGTAGGCCACTTCATGATTTTGAATGTCTGGAGCCAACTGTAGGCCACTTCGTGCTCTTCGAGTTCCCAGAACTCCATTCCTGGGCCACATTTTGAATGCTGAGGCAGGCTGATGCTGAGGCCGAGGCAGGCTGAGGCTGAGGCAGGCTGAGGCTGAGGCCGAGGCTGAAGGCAGACTGAGGCTGAGGCTGAAGCAGGCTGAGGCTGAGGCTGAGGCAGGCTGAGGCTGAGGCTGAGGCAGGCTGATGCTGAGGCAGGCTGAGGCTGAGGCTGAGGCTGATGAGGCTGAGGCAGGCTGGCTGAGGCTGAGGCTGAAGGCAGACTGAGGCTGAGGCTGAAGCAGGCTGAGGCTGAGGCTGAGGCAGGCTGAGGCTGAGGCAGGTTGAGGCTGAGGCTGAGGCTGAGGCTGAGGCTGAGGCTGTGACTGCGACTGCCGTTGCCACTGCGACTGTCATCGCGAATGCGACTACGACTGCGAGAATAGCAGAATTGTACAACTGGATTCTCATCTGAATCTTAGGGGAATGCTTCCAGATATGCTCCTACACATCGCTGTTAGGTTGCTTTGCCGGGATAATTAATGTTTTTGTTCCTCTTGGGGCTCTATTGGGGACCCTCTTGGGGCGTCTTGTCGTCATTGTCGCCGCCGCCGCCGCCGTCGTCGTCGTCGTCGCCGCCGCCGCCGCCGCCGCCGCCGCCGCTTTTGTCGTTGTCGTCGTCGTCCTTGTCGTCGTCATCGTCATCGTCGTCGTCGTCGTCGTCGTCGTCGTCGTCGTCGTCGTCGTCGTCGTCCTCGTCCTCTAGGCGAGAGCGAAACTGCGGGCGCTGGGGGAGCCGACGAAGCGCCGTGGCTGGACTCAGGAGTGCTGGCAGGTTGGACGGCGGAGTCGATGCCGAGGAGCAGGCAGACGCCATGCAGAAGAAGGTGAACGAGCAGCCGAGGAAGGGCGTGGACGAGGACGGTGAGCAGGCTGCGGCGAGCTGGGGAGCAAGGGCCCGGGAGGCGGCGCCGGACGCAGGAGGCCGGTACATCAAGCAGGGGCTGCAGAACGTCGTGGACGGGGACGGCCTTTGCATCGATGGGGGTCGCAGCGGCAGGCGATGAGCGATGCAGGTGGTGCTCCGGGGGTGGATGCCGCTGTGGCTCAAGGAGTCCAGGAAGGGCGAGAACCATCCATGCGAGTGGGCGCGCGGCCCGCGGCTCGAGCCCATCATAAGCCGGCAGGTGAGCGACATCCTGAAGAGGTGCTGTCCAGCTGCAGGGATCTGATTGGATCGCCTGCGTCCGAGGGTGCTCATGCAGCTGCTGGCGGAGTATGTGGATCGGCCAGCGGAAATTCTCATCACGTGGGAGGCGGCAGCGAAGCCCATGGACCTCTTCACGATGGTGAAAGTGTTTTTGCCCAAGGCGGAGGGCGGGGTGCGGCCCATCCGCCTGGCGGCGTTCTGCTTGAGGCTGTGGGGTCGCATCCGTCAGCCGCTGGTGCAGCGCTGGGAGGCCGAGCTGCCAGACCAGGACCACTTCTGGGGAGGAGTGCGCACGCCCTGCGACATGGCGGGGATCGTCTCCAACATGGTGGCGTGCCACGCGAGGACGGTCGGCTTCGCGCACGCGGCAGGGCTCCTGGATTTGGCCATGTCCTACGAGCACGCACCCCACGAGGTGTTGAGGCAGGAGGGCGTGCGGGCGGGCGTCCCTCAGGATTTGCTGCGGCTGCTCTGTATCAGCTGCAAAATGCCTAGGAGAGCCAAGAACAGGGAGACGGCCTGCGAGAAGCTGGAGGTGAACGGCACGCGGGCGACGGAGTGTTCATGCGCGACGGGCCCGGCCAAGGTTCTGATGCATAGGACGTTCTTTTTGCGGGCGAAGGAGTACCGGCTGATGCGGCGCCAGAACGTGGTCGATGACGCGATGGTGCAGGAGGCGGGCAAGGCAGTACAGGTGAGAGGGGCAGCTGCCCGAGGCCATGGTGAGGATGGCGGAGCTGCTGGAGGCCAAGGACCTGGTCGTCTCGTGGCAGAAGGCCAAGTTTATGGCAGGCGATGCGGCCAAGGCGGCGATGATGGCGGCAGCTTTCGCGGAGGGGGGGGCTGGCGCTGGGGCGGGTGGCATTGGCCCGCGGCTTGGGCTGCGACGCTATGGGCGGCAGGTGGGGGAGATGCGGGGGGCCTAAAGCAGGCTGCCCAGAGGAGCGGTGGTCACGCTCGGGATAAGGGCGTCGTGCAGGGCGGCGGCCAGAGACCCGCGCGTCTGGCGCCGAGGGAGACGGCGAGGTGCTAGGTGACATGCGTGGCCGAGCCGTCCAAGGTGATGCCGCTGGCGGTCATGGCGAGCAGCTGGGGGGAGGCGAGGAGGCTGTGGGAGGCGAGAAACCCGTGGCAGACGGCGGCGCGCGCAGTGGACGTCATGGCGCTCGCGACGGAAAGGGCGGACGTCGAGATGAGGGCGGCCTTCGACATGGCGGCGCCCACTGGCGAGGTGCTGGACATGACCTGGCTGGGGTCTGCCGTTGTCGGCAACGTGGTGGCCAGTGCGGCGCGGTGGACTGCCGACGCGAGAGCCTTGCCCAGCCTGGGCCCTGGGCAGCGGCTCGGCGCGGGGGGGGGGGCAGTCCGCTGTGGGCGCATCGGGGGGCTGCGGGCGGTGAAGGATGAGGGGGCGTGAGGCCTGGCGCGCAAGAAAGCGCTGGGGTGGCGCGTGAGAGGGTCTCGTTGGTCGCAGGCGAGGCTCCACGACAAGGGCTATGTGGCGTCGGACAAGTGCAGGAGGTGCAGGGCGGCTCGAGGCACCCTGCGGCACGGGCACTTCGAGTGCGGCGCCAGAGGAACTGCTACGCGGGACTTGTGTCCGCCTGAGGTGCTGGGGGCGGCGCCTCATGTGAGGCGCGAGAGAGAAACGAAGAGGCTGGCGGGGGGTTCGAACGGGGCCTCTTCCCAGATGTCACCTGGGGGAAGTTTCAGGGGCGCGAGGGGCCAGAACAGGGAGGCCGAACGCTGGTGCATAAGGCCGCCGCTGGATACCTTCACGGGAGACATCTTCGTCGACGGGTCGGCGGCCAACGTTGAGGACGGCGCCATTGGGCGCTCGGGCTGGGCTGTGGTGATCGGGCAGGCTGGTCGGCGCGTGGTGCGGCAAGGTGCCGCTGTGGTTGGCGCCAGTGCAGATCGCTCGGGGCGGCGATGACCACGCGTTCCACGTGCTGTCGAGGTGCAGTGCGGCCCTAGCGACGGTCTTCTCGGATTGCCAGGGCTCGATTGATCGCGTTGCGATCAGCGGACGGGCGCTAGGCTTCGGGAGCGACCGCAAGAGGACGTGGGAAAGGTGGTGGGCTGCGCTCGGCGACGTGGGGGCATCCCGCTGGTGAAGGTCAAGGGCCGCAAGTCGGAGGCGGACGGCAAGACCGCGGAGGTTCTGAGGAAGAGGAAAACTAATCGGTATGTGGGCGCCTTCGCCAAGGAAGGGGCGGCGGCCTGTGGCGTCGAGGAAAAGAGGGGGCTGGTGACCGCGGGGGCCCGCGCTTTGGCGAAGGTGACGGCGCGATGGGTTGCTACGTCTACGGTGCTGCTGCAGGCGCAGCGGGAGAACGCCGAGGGCCTCCCCGAGGGCTACGTGGCGCTGGAGCTGCAGGCTTCGTAGCCATTCTGGCTCAAGCTGCGGCGCGCCTTGTATTAGGTTCGATTTGTTTTGATCTTCGGTTGATTCCATGGCCGAGGAACTCATTGTTCGCCTCCATGGCCAGGCTCTGCGCATGATCTGCGACACCACGGGTCGCGACTTCGCTGGCCTTGGTGTGGCCGCACGCACGCTCTTCAAAGACAAGTCCCAGCGGTCGTTGCGGCGGAGGCTCGAGCACGTCGACACCAGCTTCGCCCTCGTTCGGCACATCAACCGTGTCAAATCAGAGTTCCTCCTGACGGAGCTCGCCAATGCGCTGGGCCAGTCTGGTGGCGTCGTCTCGCCGAACCTGCAGGAGGAGAACCAGCCTCGCGATGGTACTGACCCCCATCATCGGCTTCAACTTCCTGCAGGTGCTACTCGCGATCTGAATGTTCCACATGGCGCTGATGGTGCTGTTTCCGCCGAGCGACTCGTGGACGTTCATTGTGGCCTTCCCGAACCGCGTGAAGCAGTTCGTGCTGGTCCACGTGATGACAACTCGCCTCCAGTTCCTGAGCGACTCGTGGATGTTCGCGGCGACCTCTCTGCCGAATTGCGTGAAGCTGTTCGTGCTGGTCGACTCGGCGATGTCTCGCTTCATGCCGAATATCCCTCGGAGCCAGATCGTGATGCGCCTGGCGATGCCTTTCCGGATGGCGACGGCGCCGCCAATGCGATGTCCACGTTCAGCGTGTCCGCCGCTGGCTCCCTGCACAAGGTGGTGATCTACAAGCCGTGCCTCTGCGCGGCCACTACTCCAGATGATGTTTTTCCTCCTGCTGTCGAATCTCGTTCTGTTCCTTATCGAGCTCCTCGCTGTCGTGCGTGCGCTCTGTTACGGAGCTCATGCAGCGCGAAGCGGGCAATGGCGTGCCGATATTGTAGGCAGAGTGCCTACTGGGACTCCTGAGGGCTTCCTCTTCCCCCCCCCCCCCCCTCCGTCTGCTTTTGTCTGGCTGGGTGGGGGTGGGATGATGATGAGGATGATGAGAGGATGTGGTTGGATGGCTGCTACGCTTGCCATCGATCTCTGTTCTGGCATTCTATGTGTTGCTAGCCTCGCAGCCGCGTGACTTGTACAGCTTTCTTGTGAAGTACCATCAGGTGTTTCACTGGGGAGGCTGGATTGGATGGAGTCACTTGATCATGCTCGTCTCCTTGATAATGTGGCCAGGACTATTGATCCTTCTTGTGTGCCACGACAAGCTGAAGACAGCGTAGTGATAAATTCGTGAATGGGAGTTTTCCCCTTCTCTCGAATGTTGTTTTCTTGAGCCCTCCTCCCGTCTTTCCCTCACACCTGTCTGTGCTCAGCGATTGGGTGGGGGAGGCAAGCAGTGGCGGGGGGACGTGAGCAGTTGGAGGTTTGAAGTGTTCAACTTTAAACGTTGTTTAATCGTCCTGTGTTGACGCCTCCGTCCCTGGACGGTTTTGAATGGTGCACTGCTCGAGGCCCTCGAGGTTTCGTGTCCCTTGTTTCTTCGGTCGGGTCCCTTCGCTCGTCCTTGGTCTGGGTTCCTGGGTCCGTCCCTCGTTCCCCCTTTCGGTCCCCTTCGGGCCCTTCGCTCGTTGTCGTCGACTTCGGGCAGGAGTGATTGGCAGGCGATCACCCGGGAGCAAATCAAAGCAAATCAAATGGAGCTGCAGGCGGAGGCAGATGATGACCACGGTGGCGAGGACCCGTAGGAGGGCGATGATGAGCAGGAGGCGCAGAGTTTAGGGCTCTGGGGGGCGCTGCGGCACCAATGCCACCACTTCGTCCAGTGCGGCGACCCGGCGTTGAAGGAGGAGGTTGGGGTGGTCTGCGCGACGTGCGGAGCTAACGGTGCCGCGGCGAGCCTCAGCACGCTGAGGTCGAGGAAGGGGATCATGTTTGCCGAGTGCCGAGGTGGCCAGGCAGTAGGAACCAAGGAACAGAGGAGGAGGAGGAGGAGGAGGAGGAGGAGGAGGAGGAGGCGGAGGAGGAGGAGGAGGAGGAGGAGGAGGAGGAGGAGGAGCAGGAGGAGGACGCGGACGAGGAGGAGGAGGAGGAGGAGGAGGAGGAGGAGGAGGAGGAGGGCCGCGGGCAGACGCTGCGAGGTACGGCGGCAGATCCGAGCTCCTGGACTTCTACAGCACGCTCAAGGCCCGCGGCGTGAGCGCCGATGGGATCGTGGAGTACGGCCGCGTGGCGAGGGCCAAGGAGGCCGAGAGGACGAGGAGGACGAAGGGACGCCTGCGAGTGCGTGAAGGGGCCGCACGCAGGGGCAGGCGAGGACGAAGGGCGAGGCGCCGAGCGGGAGGCCGAGGACGAGCGCGTCGAGCCGACGGCGGAGGCGAGGAGTGACGGGGAATGGCCAGAAGACGTGCACACGCGCGGGTGCTGCGGTTGCCGTCGGTGGGCGTTCCATCCGACTCGGAACGCTCGCGACCTTCCTCCAACGTCTCCAGCGTCGTCGTCTCCAGCGTCGTCGTCGTCGTCGTCGTCGTCGCCGTCGCCGTCGCCGTCGCCGTCGCCGTCGCCGGCGCCGTCGCCGTCGCCGCCGCCGCCGTCGTGGTGGCCGCCGGGGCGAGGCGTCGCCCGAGTCGTGGAGCCCGGCGGTGAGCGTGTGCGGCATGGCGTCCGGCAGGGGTGCCGCGGGGGGCTGCTGGGCGGCGGACGGTCCGTGCCGCGGGGGGGCGGCGGCGGCGGCGGTGCCGCCGCCGGCAGCTACGAGGAGGACGCCGAGGGCGACGGTCACGACAGCGACGGCGGCGGCGACGAGGGCGTGGTGGAGCGGGAGAGGCCGGGCGGAGGAGGAGGTGGGGGAGGTGGGGGGAAAGGGGGAGGAGGAGGCGGAGGCGGAGGCGGAGGCGGAGGCGGAGGCGGAGGCGGAGGCGGAGGAGGAGGAGGAGGAGGAGGAGGAGGAGGAGGAGGAGGAGGAGGAGGAGGAGGAGGAGGAGGAGGTTGAGGACCAGTGTAAGCCCAAGATGTATCAGCGACGCTGCAGTACACCCTCCCGTCCCACGTCCCCATGTCATTCGTCTCCACAGACATTATATGCCACTGCGCGAAACGCCCCCCCCCTTGAACGACGAGGGCCCCTTACGCAGGCTCGCAATTCCGGCGGCATCCGAAGACCCGACCCCTAGCCCACAGGTGCCCAAGTTTCACTGATTCCCGGCTCGAGAGTCCCCCCCCCCCTGCACCACCAGCCACCACCTTTAGACTCCCCCCCCCTCTGGATTTTGGGCAGGAGTTGGGGGCGGCGGAGGGGGGTGCGGTGGAGGACGGAGTGGGGGACCCGAACTGGCTGGGTCTCGGCCTTTGTCTTGACTCGGTTCTGCGGTTCTGTTGGAAGTTGGAGCATATACATTACCAGTGGCGGGTGTTTTTTCAATCCCAGGACTTTTTGAGGGTCGGGGACGATGTCGGGATGATGTGGTGTATACTTTTTTCCCCGTTTTCCCAGGGAAACGACGAAGAATGTGTACACCAGGATCACGTATACACCAGGATCCGCTTTCCTGTGCGAGATTCAGTTAAGGCCAGACAAAGGCGTCGGTGTAAAAAAGTTCGGCTTCTTATCTGTGTCCATGTCCGTCTAAGCTTCCAGTGTTTTTCGCAGAGTGCTTCGGCAACGCGTTTTTCCTCGGAGCTTCGCAGCAACGCTCAACACGTCTCTCGGGGTGCCCAGCATGTGCCTTACGCAGCGTTCCATTTGCGGTGACTGGGCGGCAGTCCAGAGGATACAGACACCTCCAACTGGTCGCATCCTGGGTCTCCTCTTCGATCTTGGTGCCCTCCCACCTCAAGGTCCCCATCTGCATCCCCTCTCCACTCCCGTGTCTTCGTCTGAGTCCTGAAGGCCCTCCCCCTCCTCACAAGGCCGTCCCTGGACCCCCGTCTCTTGGACCCCCGTCTCCTGGCCCCCCGTCTCCTGGACTCCCTCCTCCAGAGGCCCTGGACCCCCTCGATCGCACACCCTCGCAGGCCTACAGGTTGACGCCAACACCAATATCGGCAGTGTGCCTCCACCGAGGGACGAGGATCCCGATCTCGGTGATCGTGGTGCTATTATGTCTTCCAAGGTGGCCGAAATACTGCCACCAATACCGAAATCCAGAATCATCTTCCCCCTGTGGAGGCACCCCCCTGGTGTTGGTGCTGGTGTCCATTTCCTAGGCCTCCGACACCCGATCCCTCCAGGACCCTCCTTCCGATGCCCCTTGTGCCATCCCCCCGTCAGAGGCCCCGCCTTGGCCCCCCTCGACCCTGGACGCCAGAGACGCCCTCAGCACTCCCTCCAGAGGATCCCCCCCGAGAGCTGAGGGCTGTCCTCGTTGGTGCCTCTGAGTAGACACATGGGGGAGCACGGTGCTGTTGAGAAGGAGGATCAGGATCAGGAGGAGGAGGAGGAGGAGGAGGAGGAGGAGGAGGAGGAGGAGGAGGAGGAGGAGGAGGAGGAGGAGGAGGAGGAGGAGGCCCACCAAATTACCCCTTGAGTTGGGGATACACCCCTCGAAACCCGGAGGGGACGGCCTATATCCACATCTAGGGGGCTAAGTCGACCAGTGGGGCCCAGGCCACGCCGCTGGGGATGGGGGTCGGTTCAGCGATACTCAGCGGAGCGAGGATGCCGCAGTAGAGCTTGCACGCGAGCTGACGCCGTGAGCAGGTGCACGATCCCGCCTCCAGCGGCGCCGGCATCGGCGCGGAAGCGGACCGCATCTTTCCCCTCTCGCGATGCCCCGCTCGCTCCCCAGAGTGTGCGGGGCTCGGCTCGTGCCCCGTCCAGGTGGCGGCCGCTTGAGCCCCCCCGGCGCCGTCCGTCGCCCGGGGAATCTTCCTGCGTTGGGCACCGCGTCGTGACTGCTTGGGTGGGTGCCCGCCAGGTTGCTGACGCTAAGAATTCGAGTGCGAGTTTGTGTTTGTTTGTTTGTGTTTGTTTGTGTGTGCGTGTGCGTGTGTGTGTGTGTGTGTGTGTGTGCCCGAACCGACGTCCGAGTGCGCACGCGAACGTGCCCACTGGCGCCATGGTCGGGGCTCTCTCTATTGGGCACCAGCGCGCTAGCTGAATCTGGCGCCCTGGTCCGAAGGGGAGCGCGCACACTGGCTGTGATGGGGCTGCCTGTGGGGTGCGAAGCAACAGCAGCCGCAGCGACACAACCAGATGGAGGAGGAGGAGGAGGAGGAGAAAGAGGAGGAGGAGGAGGAGGAGGAGGAGGAGGAGGAGGAGGAGGAGGAGGAGGAGGAGGAGGAGGAGGAGGAGGAGGAGGAGTGTCGGACTGGACAGTCCTCGAAAGTGCAACCGCTGCATGACTAGCAGGGTGTTGGTGGCGGTGCAATTTTACACGCAAGGAAGGGAAGGAGGAGGAGGATGAGGAGCCAGAGAAGGAGGAGGAGGCGGAGGAGGAGGAGGAGGTGGAGAAGGAGGAGGAGGAGGAGAAGGATGAGGATTAGAAAGAGGACCAGGATGATGATGACGATGATGATGATGATGATGATGATGATGATGATGATGATGATGATGATGATGCTGATGCTGATGCTGATGCTGATGCTGATGCTGATGCTGATGCTGACGCTGCTGATGCTGCTGATGCTGATGCTGATGCTGCTGATGATGATGCTGATGATGGAGATGATGCTGATGATGCTGATACTGGTGATGATTGTGATGGTGATGGTGATGGGGATGGTGATGATGGTGATAGTGATGATGGTGATGACGATGCTAATGATCATGAGGATGGTGATGGTGCTGGGGATGATGATGATGATGATGATGATGATGATGATGATGATGATGATGATGATGATGATGATGATGATGATGGTGATGACGATGATGAACAGGATGGGGACGAGGAAGAGGATGATGATGAGGATGAGGAGGGGGAGGGTGAGGACGATGACGATGCTGATGATGAGGAGGAGCAGGATGAGGAATATGATGACACTGATGATGATGATGATGATGATGCTGATGATGATGATGATGATGATGATGATGACGATGCTGAGCATGATGATGATGATGATGATTATGATGATGATGATGATGATGACGGTACTGATACAGCTGATGACGATAATGCTGGCGATGCTGCTGCTGATGTTGATGGCGGTGATGATGATGAGGATGCATCTGAGGATGATGGTGATTATGATGCTGACGATGAAGATTCTGATGACGATAATGCTGACGATGATGATACTGATAATGATTCAAACGAGGATGAAGATGCTTATGCTGATCACGATGAAGATGATGCTGATGAGGATGTGGATGATGACGATGATGATGATAAATGTGATGATGCTGATGATGTTGATGTTGATGATGATGGTGATGATGTTTATTCTTACTACTGCTATTGTTATTTCCAGTATGCTGCTTCTGGTGATTGTGACGATGACGATGGCGACGCTGATGATGATGGTGATGATGATGCTGATGATGGTGGTGATGATGATGCTGATGATGATGCTCGTGATGATGCTGATGATGATGACGAGGATGATGATGATGATGATGATGATGATGATGATGATGATGATGATGCTAGTGCTGCTGCTGATGATGATAGGTATGTCGATGTTCATGACAATGATACTGATGATGACGAGCATGATGTCGATGATGGTGGTGATGATGCTGCAAATGATGATGATGATGATGATGATGATGATGATGATGATGATGATGGTGATGATGATGATCATAATGATGCTGATGACGACCAGGATGATGATGACGATACTGATGCTGCTGATGATGATAACGCTGCTGATGCTGATGCTGATGATGCTGATGATGCTGATTATGATTATGATGAGGAGGATGATGATGCTGATGCTGATTATGATTATGATGATCTTGATGATGATAGTGATAATGATGATGATGATGATGCTGCTGATGATGATGACCATGATGACCATGATGATTATGATGAAGACGGGAACGATGATGATACTGATGCTGATGCGGATGATGATGATGCTGATGATGATGATGATGATGATGATGATGATGATGATGATGATGCTGATGCTGATGATGACGATGAGGATAACGATGATGACGATGATGATTCGGATCATGATGACGATGATGTTAACGATGATCATGATGATGATGCTGCTGCTGATGATGATGATGATGATAGTGGCGGTGGTGGTGGCTATGATGATGATGATGCTGATGCTGATGCTGATACTGATGATGATGCTGCTGATGATGATACTGATGATGATGATGATGCTTATGCTGATGCTGATGCTGCAGCTGCTGCTGCTGATGATGATGATGATGCTGATGATGATGCTGATGACGATGATGATGATGATGATGATGATGATGATGATGATGATGATGATGATGAGGATGAGGATGAGGATGAGGATGAGGATGAGGATGAGGATGAGGATGAGGATGAGGATGAGGATGAGGATGAGGATGAGGATGAGGATGAGGATGAGGATGAGGATGAGGATGGATGAGGATGAGGATGAGGATGAGGATGAGGATGAGGATGAGGATGAGGATGAGGATGAGGATGAGGATGAGGATGAGGATGAGGATGAGGATGAGGATGAGGATGAGGATGAGGATGAATATCAGGACGAGGAACAGGCGGAGGAGGTGGAAGAGGAGGAGGAGGAAGAGGAGGAGGAGAAGGAGGGGGAGGAGCAGGAGCAGGAGGATGATGATGAGGAGGAGGAGGAGGAGAAGAAGGAGGTGGAGGAGGAGGACGAGGAGGAGGAGGGAAGGAGGAGGAAGAGGGGGAGGAGGGAGGAGGAGGAGGAGGAGGAGGAGGAGGAGGAGGAGGAGGAGGCGGAGGAGAAGGAGGAGTGTCGGGCTGGCCGGTCCTCGAAAGTGCAACCGCGTCGTTACTAGCAGGGTGATGGCAACGAAGGGACGGATGAGGAGGAGGAGGAGGAGGAAGAAGAGGATCAGCTGCAGGAGTAGGAGGATGATGATGCTGATGATGATGATGATGATGATGATGATGATGATGATGATGCTGCTGGTACTAATGCTGATGCTGATGCTAATGCTGCTGCTGATGACGATGATTGTTGTGAGCTGATGATGACGATGATGATGACGATGATGATGATGATGATGATGACGATGAGGGTGAGGGTGATGATGATGATCAGGATGATGATGATGCTGATGATGATGATGAAGAGGATGATGAGGATGGTGTCGATGATGCTGATGCTGATGACGATGACGATGTTGATGATGATGATGATGACGATGAGGAGGAGGAGGAGGAGGGGCAGGATGATGATGGCGCTGAGGATTCTGATGATGATACTTATGATGATGGCCATGCAAATGATGATAATGATCATGTTGCTTATGATGTTGATGATGATGGTGATGATTCTGATAATGATGATGCTGATGATGCCGACAAAAGGGGATGATGATTATGCTGAGGATAAAGGTGATGATGATGGTGATGATGGCGATGCTGCTGCTGCTGATGATGATTATTGCGGTGATGATGGGGATGAAGATGATGAGGATTAGGATGAGGATGAGGACGATGATGATGATGACGATGATTTTGGTTGAGGATGATGCTGATGAGGAGTATGATGACGATGCTGATGATGATGATGATGATGATGATGAGGATGATGATGATAATGATGATGATGACGATCACGATGACGATGACGATGACGATGATGCCGATTCTGATGACGATGATGATGACGATGTGGATGAGGATGAGGAGGAGGATGATTATTATTACGATGATGCTGCTGCTGATGCTGATTATGATGATGAGGATGGCCACTATTATTATTATCATTGTTTTTTTGTTATTGTTGTTTTTCGTATTCTGATCATTCTTCTTCTCTTGATTTTTATATATTGTTATCATTATGTTTCTTGTTCTCATTCTAACACTATCATCGATCGTACAGTCAACCCCCATAGTAAGGATGGGCAGCCTTCCCAAGGGTACCCTTGCATCCTTGCCTCCTCGGTCCATCCTTCGCCGCTTTCGCTGGCCGCGCCCCGCTCTAAAAGCTTCGAAATGGGCGTCCAAGGCCCTTGCACCTTTATCGCGCATCCTTGCTATACTGGCCGTTTTTTTTTTTTTTTTTTTTTTGTTTTGTTTTGTTGTTTTTTGTTGTTCTTTTTTGTCTTTTAAACATATTTCTGAAATTATATGGTTATTTTTATGATAACTACGACAATTATTATGATTACCATTATTGGTATCATTCTCATTCTGGCTATTCTTGTCAGTATTATTATGTTCATCCGCATTTTTAGTTGTAGCGATGTGATGATTAGTATTAGTTACTATCCGAATTCGCAGTATTTTTGGATTTTTCGTGTTATCATTCTTTGTGCTATGTGTCTCATGATTTGTAGGATTAGCACCATTACTAATCGTATTCGTACAACTATTAGTTTCAGGCTTCTGATTGTGGTGACGATGACGATGAAGACGACGATTATGTTGATGATGATGGTGGTGGTGGTGATGATGATTATGATTATGATGATGATGCTGATGAGGATGAGGATGAGGATGAGGATGAGGATGAGGATGAGGATGATGATGATGATGATGATGATGATGATGATGATGATGATGATGATGGAGACGAGGATGATAATAACCATGATGATAATGCGGATGAGGATCAGGATGATAATGAGGAGGAGGAAGAAGAGGAGGAGGAGGAGGTGGAGGAGGATGAAAGGAGAAGGATTAGGAGGAGGAGGAGGAGGAGGAGGAAAAGGAGGAGGAGGAGGAGGAGGCTCTTCCGCCCTCCTGCTTCCCTCCGAGGTGCGCCCGAGGGCGACGCCTCTCGGGCGGGCGAGGGCGCGTCGGTGGCGACGGTGGCCGCCATGCTGCCGCCGCACCCGTGCCCGGTGCCGGCCCCCCTCGGTGTCGTCTTCGCCGTCGCCGCTGCCGCCGCCGTCGCCGTCGCCGCCGCCGTCGCCGCCGTCGTCGCCGCCGCCGCCGCCGTCGCCGTCGCCGCCGCCGTCGCCGCCGCCGTCGCCGCCGTCGCCGTCGCCGTCGTCGCCGCTTCCATCGCCACCTTCTTTTCCGACCCAGCAGCCACAACGCTCACGATCTGCATCCTCCTCCTCCTCCTCCTCCTCCTACTCCTCCTCCTACCCCTGCTCCTCCTCCCCCCCTCCTCCTCCTCCTCCTCCTCCTCCTCCTCTTCCTCCTCCTCCTCCTCCTCCTCCTCCTCCCCTGAGATCCGACGTTGCGCAAAAACTGCAACACCGCGAGAAGGCACGACCAGACCCCGGGATCGATCTCCGTGCGTGCTGCGGGGCCCGAAACCTTGGGCGAAGGCGCCCCGTGCGGGAACTAACTGCAACGCCCCGATCTCAGGGCCCTTCGGGGGGGACCCCAGACACGCGACGTCCCATGCGGCCCCCAGGAGTGCCGACCCGTTCCCCTTGGGCTGGCTCTTCCTCCTGAACCTTTCTTGGACGGCCCTGGGGCCGGGGAGGGCCCCCAGAGGCCGAAAGCAGTGTTGGGATGCAACTTCTGGGAGGTCAAATTCTGATTTTGCACGGCTGAACCCCGGCTTAATCCGGCTTAATCCCGCTCAATCCCGCTTAATCCCGCTTGCAAGCAAGCAAGGCAGCCAGGCGCCCAAACGGCGCATAGGCAGTACATAACTACACATAGACATTACCAGGATGCGTATGGGAAAACGCACGCCGCCCACTGCAGCTTCGGGCGTCCACGTCTGCGCTTGCGGTACCACTTCCTCGGTGTGTTCCCTCCAGGCTCACACACGAGGTCACGCAGGATATGTCCATCGGGGAGTTGTGCTATCTTGCTATACAATTGGCTTTGTTTTTCTAAGACATCGTCGCTCAATGGGCGTGCGCCTGCGCGCGCCCTCTCTTCAGCATTTGATACTCTTGACACGTACGCGTGAGGTATTTTTTGAATCTGTCGCAAGCAGGCCGCCTGAAAGCTGTCCAGTCTGTATCGGTCTGCTTTGAGTAGCCAAGTCGACTCCAAATTGTACAGAAGCTTCGGGAGTATAATTGCACGGAATATCTCCAGCTTCTTGTGTTTTGTGATATTGGCGTGGCTCCAACATTTTCTCAATCAATTGAATACCCGTTTTGCTTCACCTATTCGCCGGGTCACCTCTGGCTTGCTGTTCACTGACGTACTCAGTAAGCCCCCAAATACACAGCCTGTTCCACGGATTTCAACGCATGCCCACCTGGTGCGTATACTTGACCATTGTTGCGCGCTCTCATCATCATTGTTTTCTTCCAATTGAGTTCCAACCCGTACTTTTCGCCTTCCTGGATGATCAAGTCGAGTACTGCTTGCAACTTCAATGGGCTTGCGCTCAGAAGTACTGTATCGTCCGCGTACAACAAATCACCACATAAAACGTACTCCGGCTCCTCATAGTCGCTTGCCATACTTTGGTAGATTTTATCTACGTCGAACATCATCACTGTCTGCACAATGGTGAACAAGTACGGCGATAGAAGGCATCGTTGCGCGATCCCTTCCTTCTGCTGTCTCCGCGTTGAGTCGCCGCCTGGGTCTTTTAAGTAGAGATCCCTTCCATCATACATTGCTTTGATCATGTCCACCATTTGGCCTGGAAGACCAAATGCTATAAACATGGACTCGTGCTTGATGCGGTCAAATGCTGTTGCCCAGTCCAGTAATATAGCGAGCACACAGGTTTCTTCTGCAGCGTACGCGGCGTCGAAGATGCGGCGCGCTATGGTGATAGCGTCTACTGTGCCGCGATTTGGCCTGAAACCGAATTGCGTTGAGCGGATGCGATCTTCTTCCCCTCCATGTTGAAGTCTTTTCTGTAGCATCCACGCCAGTACGTCCTATCCCACTGCTAATAAGGATATGGGGCGGTAATTATCTGGCAGACTGGCGTCTCCCTTTTTGTACAATAGTACTACTTTCGCCGTCTTCCACTCTGCAGGGATACGTTCTTGTTTCCAGCATCCTGCGCAAAGATCAAGCAAAGATTCGCATGCGTCCCTTGATGCCCATAAGAACTTCCAGAACTCAGGGTAAATACCATCTTGGCCCGCCGCCTTTGAAACCGATAATGCTTTCAATGCTTGCATCAGTTCGTCCATCGAGAACACCTCCGTCTTTATATGTAGCTGATGTCCCAAGGTCTCTGTCCCCCCAGGCAGTTTGTCTGGGAAGCTGATCTTCCACTGTTCATTTTCGAAATAATCTGCTAAAATGCTTGATCTTTGGTCGCTCTCCACGATGTCCCCCTCTTGGTTGTTGATTGTGACCGGCGTCTTCGATGGTGTAGTTTTTAGTCCCCGGATGGCTTTCCAGGAGCCCCCGGCCAATGCAGATTCCAACCACTTTGCTTTGTCCCGTCGCACTGCTTTCTTGATTTCTTTATGGAGTCTTGTCTCTTCCCCTGTGCCGTTTTTTTTTGCTTGGTCTCGCTCTGCCAGCAAAGCAATGGTGGCACCTGAGATCCATGGTTGGTGTCGTCGTGCTTGGGGTCGGGCTGCAATCTGCGAAGCTTCGTGCATGGCTCGTGCTACGTTCGCAGCTGCATCTTCCAAAGATTCTGTTTCGGGTAGCTTCGAACGTGCCTCAAGATACTTTTCCCCAAATGTTGTATCCAACTTTGGTGGCCCCCTCAGCGTGGCCAGGCAACACGATCTCTTTGGTTCCTTCTTGAACGTATGCTCGAAGTACACGCTCAACTTTGTTAACACCAGGAAATGCCAGGTCGGCAAAGACGTTGTGCGGTCGCTCCAAATATCCCGCACCATATTCATGTTGGTATTTCCCACCAAACAGAAATCAAATTGTGCAAAATGCTCTGGAAAAGGTGCGCTGCTAGCGTCCACGCCCTGGGCAGGCTGGAAGTACGTGACCGTGTTGTTGGCGGCGTGCTCGAAAAACGTGTTGCCAATCATGGAGCTCGTAGCCCTGCACGTCTCCAATAATAGTTCTTTAATGGATTGCGCCAGCCGTGATGGTGGAGGCGATTCGTATACGAAATCTCCAATTGCGTCTTCTTCGCCCGCCTCTCGCATATATAGCCGGGCATTGAAATCTTCATAACCAAACGTGCATGTGTGAGAACCAGGGCGCTTCCAGGCCTTTGTGAAAGAGTCGAAGGAAGATTTCCGCTGCTCGTAGTCCTTGCCAGCATGTGGTGCATACCCACACCATATATTTGCTACGCCACCATTTGTTTTGATTTTCACTGAAGCTAGCTTGTCGCCCAGCAGGCAACAATTGATGACGGAAGCGATGGCCGGCTGTGCAATGACGAATCCGACGCCTGAGTAAAGATATCCAGTATGCTCTTCAAGGGTCCCAGACAATACTACCAAATACACATTCCGCATGAAATGACAAGTTTTTTTGCAATGTGTTTCTTGCATACAGAATAGCAATCTCAAATTGTACCATGTGGTAAAACATTTGATCAAATTCCCCATAATCTTTTCCAAGCCCTTGCACGTTCCAAGTGGCAACAACTTGGTGTTCCAAAGGTCTGCATTTTTTCTTGTAGCAGCCCCACTTTCCTGGGACTGTTTGTTTCCAGCGTCCACTCCCCGATTGGGAGTTCATTGTGTTGTCGATGCGTTGGTGTTTACTCAGACCGTCGGCTTCTTTGTCCGTGCTGTCTAAGCTGCCGCCTTCATGTCCGAAGCCTTGGGGGCGCAGAACAGGAAGGTCATGGCGATCAGCAGTTTCAGGATGAGGGAGAACATCTGCATCTCCATGGCTTTGTCCGCAAGCGCGGCTGGAGGTCGATGTGGAGGGTGGTACAATAGACGGGCGTGCCGTCCCACGCGAGAAGGTTGGTGAAACCGCCGGTGGTTTCAAGCACGAGGGTATCTTTGCCCAATCTCGCGCCAATATCGGCATGGTAGTTCCAAAAAGGATTTGTCTCATATCCGGCTCCAGTGCCGGAGGCTCCCGGCACCGGCCGGAATCCCTATTGCGTACTTCCTTTTCCCCTGCCTTTCGCGGTCCCCTTTCATACCGCGGCTTGCACGGGCCACTAGATCATCGCATGCTTGTTTGAGGTCCTTCACTTGGGTGTTGTTTTGCAGATCCTCCCACTCTTCCCACTCCTTCGTCCATGTATATTCCAAGCCATTTTCTGAAACATCTACGGTAATCGCCAGCTCCCCCCCGACGAAGACTTGCAGCGGTAAGCTATCGATGACCTTGATCGTGTACTCTACGTGCATGGCGTCACGCAAAGTGTATTTCAGATCAAAACAGAAGTTTCGGGCAGCACGGAGTGCCGTCGGCCTGTCCTGCGTGACCCAGATCTTCTTTCCTTGCATTGCGAAGCCTGCGCTTCGAAATGATGCTACTGCAGTGTCTCTGTCGGTTGTGTCTGAGAATTCAGCGAACACGATGTTGGTGTAGTCGCCCTTGCAGCAAACTTCTGATGATGTCGGCCCGGTCATGGACACAAGTTTCTGTTCTACCCATTCTTTGGCCTCAGGGAAAGAATCGATACCGTCCAAGTTTCCGAGGACCGCGGTGATCTCCCTCTTGCCGTCAACGTCAGTGTACTTGAATTGTGATTGCGAGCTGGAGGCGGGACCCAGCGCACGAACTTGGCGTTCAAGGTCCTCGAGCTTGGTGGCCATGGCCGTATTCGTCGACATTGCTGATGCGGATGTCGCCGAAGTCGGCCCCGACGGCATTTCCAGAGCCTCCAGTCGAGCACGTAAATCATCCACAGCGTCGTTGATAGGCTGCACTGTCATCTGCAGGTCTTGCCTGGAGATCCCGTGCTCTTTAATTGCCGCAATGTCTTGTTGAATAGGTCGAAGATGTTGTGCAATGAGCGTGCCGATGTTCGACAAAGTCAGCGGTGCCTCGTTGCCTTTACCCTTGCCTTTATCTTCCTGCTGCACTCCATCGGCCTCGGTGAGGCGACCTTGGAATTGGGGTTGCAGAGCCCTGGCGAAGGAGTCGTCGTCGAGATCGCTGTTTCATCCTCTCTGCTGACGCCGGCGACGACGATGGTGAGGCAGATGGTCCAGGGGCCTTGAACCAGTGCTTGACAGGGGTTCCTGGCGCGCGCTTGTCACCGCCAACGGAAGAAGCCATCGGTATTGGATCGAAGTGTAGGGGCGGGAATGGCAGGAAGCAGAGAAAATGTGGAGTAGATGTAGATGGAGTCGACGCCGAAGCGGTAAATATAGTAAAAATGTACGTTTTCTTGAGCCTTGAGCCTTGAGCCTTGAGCCTTGAGCCTGGAGCCTTGAGCCTTGAGCCAAGGCCGAGGCCCACTCTGGCGTAATAGCTCCCAAATGGGGCTTAATCCTCCTCAATCTTTCCGATTAAAACCTCCCGGGTAGTTGCCTCCTCAGTAGTGCACGGCCTCCCGTCCTGATGTTTGCCGCGATGCGAGCCTGTCTGGGACCTCCTCCCCTCTTGCAGTGCGCGCCCGCAGCCCGCCGTGCAGCCCCAGCGCGCGCTGCGGCGCTGCCGCGCCCCGGCTTGCCGAGGGGCGGGCGACCTCTGGGCCCCCCGAGGGCCCGGAGCCCCCCCCTGTGCGGAAGTCCTCCGGAGCCCCCCGGAGGCTCCCGGAGGCCTCCAGACCCAGATTCCCTGAGAGTAGTGACAAAAATCACGGCGGGAGGGTTTTTCTGAGTTTTCGGCTTCCGGGGGCCCTCGCCGGGCCTCGGGAGCGTCAAAAAACGACTCAGCATGCAAAGCCGGTCATGGGGAAAGGGTCGGGACCTCTGGGGGTCGACGTGATGAACAAATCACTACGTCGCGGGTCTGGGGAGCGCCCCGAGGGCCTCAGGAAGGGCCCAGAGGGACCCGCGGACCTCGAGCCTCGAGCCCCAGAGCTCGATCCCAGACCCCCGACGTCATGATTTTTTCAGATCGTCGTCCCCCCACAGCTCTCGGCCCCTTCCCAGGACTGGCTTCTCATCCCGAGTCGTTCTTTGCCAGCCCCGAGGCCCGGCGAGGGCCCCCGGAGGCCGAAAATAGCACCTCCCGTCGTTTTTTTTTTTTTTTTTTTTTTTTTTTTTGTTTCGCAGCGCGAGTGGGTCTGGGATCCTCGATCCTCGCTTTAAGTCGGGCCTGTCCCCCTACAGGGGGAATATTCCGAAATAGTAGAAAAATAGTCAGGGGACGATTTTTTGATTATTTTTTGGTTACTTTTGGAGTTTTTTTTGACTATTTGTTATCTTTCGTCCAAAATCAGCCTTTAGGGAGACATGCCCGACCTCAGCCTCGATCCTCGATCCTCGATCCTCGTCTCTCCTCGCGGCGCGCGGCCCAGACCCCCGACGTAATGATTTTTTCATGACGTCGTCCCCCAGAGGTCCCGACCCTTTCCCCAGGACCGGCTTTGCATCCTGAGTCTTTTCTTGACGCTCCCGAGGCCTGGTGAGGGCCCCCGGAGGCCGAAAACTCAGAAAAACCCTCCCGTCGTGATTTTTTCACTGCTCGAGGGGCTCTGGGTCTAGGGAGACGTGCCCTACCTCAGCCTCGATCCTCGATCCTCGCTCCTCGCCGCTCTCCCCCGCGGCGCGCGGAGTGCCCGCCTCGATCCTCGATCCTCGCTCCTCGCCGCTCGATCCTCGATCCTCGATCCTCGATCCTCGATCCTCGCTCCTCGCTCCTCGCTCCTCGCTCCTCGCTCCTCGCCGCTCCCCCGCGGCGCGCGGAGTGGGCCTCCTCCTCCTCCTCCTCCTCCTCCTCCTCCTCCGTCTCCTCCTCCTCCTCCTCCTCGTCCTCCTCCTCCTCCTCCTCCTCCTCCTCCTCCTCCTCCCCGGAGGCGCCCGCCCCCGTGGCCTCGCCGCAGGGCGCGCCGCCGAGCTCCCGGAGAGGGGCCGCCGCGCGGGGCGCCCGGCGGCCCTTTGCCGCCGCGGTCGGCGTCGCTCGGGCCCGGAGGCTTGTGTCGGGCGTGTCCCCCTACAGGGGGATTTTCGACGAAGAATAAAAATACTCCAAACATACCCCAAAAAGGCAAAACAAAAATTCCAAAAATAGTCCCCAGACTATTTTTGGACTATTTTTGGACTATTGTGGGGGTATTTTTTATTTTTCGTCGAAAACCCCCCTGTAGGGGGACAGGCCCGACTTAACCCCAGGCCCCCAGACCCCCAGAGAGTAGTGAAGAAATCAGGACGGAGGGCTTTTCTGAATTTTCGGCCTCCCTGGGGCTCTCACCAGGCCTCGGGAGCGTCAAAAAACGACTCGGGATGCAACGCTGGTCCTGGGGAAAGCGTCGGGACCTCTGGGGGACGACGTGATGAACAAATCATGACGTCGGGGGTCTGGGCCCTCGGGTTGACCCACAAGGGGGTCCAGCGACAAGGGGGTGGTGCAATAGATTTGGTGCAGCAGCGGATTTGTGGGGTAGATCCCAGACCCTCGGGTTGACCCACACACAAGGGGGTCCAGCGACAAGGGGGTGGTGCATTTGATTTGGTGCAGCAGATTTGTGGGGTAGATCCCAGACCCTCGGGTTGACTCACAAGGGGGTCCAGCGACAAGGGGGTGGTGCAATAGATTTGGTGCAACAGATGTGTGGGGTAGATCCCAGACCCTCGGTTTGACCCACAAGGGGGTCCAGCGACAAGGGGGTGGTGCAATAGATTTGGTGCAACAGATTTTTGGGGTAGATCCCAGACCCTCGGGTTGACCCACAAGGGGGTCCAGCGACACGGGGGTGGTGCAATGGATTTGGTGCAACAGATTTGTGGGGTAGATCCCTGACCCTCGGGTTGACCCACAAGGGGGTCCAGCGACACGGGGGTGGTGCAATAGATTTGGTGCAACAGATTTGTGGGGTAGATCCCAGACCCTCGGGTTGACCCACAAGGGGGTCCAGCGACAAGGGGGTGGTGCAATAGATTTGGTGCAACAGATTTGTGGGGTTGCAACGCATTTGGGGCGTGCAGTACATTCCGGGGCGCAAATGTATTGCGGGATTGTTGCGTGCAGTGCATTACTTGCAAGACAATGCAATACAATTCTCCAGCGCAGTACATTTGCAATACAATTGCCCCAAATCTATTGCACACCCCTTTTCAGCTGGACCCCCGTTTGGGTCACCCAAAGACCCGCTCGAGGCATGAAAACACCACGACGGGATGTTTTTGGGCGATTTTCGGTCCCTATAGGAGCCCTTACCAGGCCTCGGGAACGTCACAAGAACGACTCAGGATGAAAAACTGGTCCCGGGGAATGGGTCGAGACCTCCGGGGGTCCATGTCGTGACAAAAGTCACGGCGTCGGGGGTCTTTTTTGTTCTCGCTATTTTCGGCACTTGGGGGTCCTCCCCGGGCCCCAGGGCCGTCAACAAAATGATTCAGGATGAAGAGCCTGCCCCGGGGGAAGAGTCGGCCCTTCTGGGGGCCGCGTGTGCAGAAGATCAGGACGTCGCACGCCTGGGTCCCCACGCAGACGCCCATGATCTTGCCCCCCGAGTTGGGGATGCACCCACTGAAACCCGAAGAAGCCAGCCCACATCCCCACCCGGGGGGTAAATGGACCAGAGGGGCCCAGGCCACGCCAGTGGGGATAGGTATCGGTGGAACGATGCTCAGAAATCCAACGTGAGCGACAGAAGAAAACGGGGTCGAGTGCGCCGACATTCGCGCGTGAGCTGTCCACGTGAGGTCGCGGGAGCGCGACCTCGTGTCCTATGTAGCGTGCCGCGCTTGCGGCTCGCGTAAGCCACCGCGTGAGTTCGCTATGTCATCTCGCGTAAGGCCCGCTCCTTTTCGTCGCAAACGTGTTGAAGACACCAAGGCGGAGCTGGTTCGCTGTCTTCGGACCAGATGCCCCCGCCAGACCCCGGGACCATTGAAGCACGACTCAGGATGCAGCGCCCGTCCTGGGGAGTGGGTCGAGGCTTTCGGGGAGCCCGTGTTAACAACAACAAAGGCATCTGATCTCTGGGGGGGAGGGAGACGTACTGACACCGCTGCCCTTCCATCGTTTGCACCTTCCTGGGCCTCCTGGGAGGTCTTCGTCGCCACCACTGGATCAGGGCCCCGAGTCATCAGGGCAGGGGGTAGTCCGGGGTAACTCCTAATTCTTGCTTCCTGTTTTCGCGCCAGAGTTACCCCACATTGCATTCAACTCGATTTAGTCTGGATCACGGTCTGCCCGTGAACATATTGTCAAGCACTATCCTGAAACAGGAGGTGTTCCCGATCAAGCGGTTCCACGGTTCTCCCAAATCTCATATGGGACACCAAGCAGGGCCATACCCAGATCGGGTCTATCCCGGATGAAATGCGAGTGCCCAAGCTGGAGTCGCCCCGAGATGCTGGTCAGAGCGCACCCCAGGAGAGATCTGGGGAGCAGTGGCATCAGTACACGCCGGTCGTTGAAAGTAGGTACTTTTGGATTCCCAGATCCCAATCTACTTCAAGCGCCTTCCTACTTCAAGGATCGACAAGGTTTGACTGTGGTTTCTTATTCTCTGGGAGGGCCTGGACGCAATCCACTTTATCCGCCTTCCTACTTCATGTTTTTACCTACTTCTTCCGACCGACGTGTATTCTTGGCCTCGCGAGTCTTGCTCGGCGAGAGGCTGCAGTTCGCACTGTCGGTCCTCGTCGTCGTCGTCGTCGTGGATCATCGGCGGTCGTCGACGTCGCCGTCGCCGTCGTCGTCGCCGTCGCCGTCGTCGTCGGCGTCGTCGCCGTCGCCGTCGCCGTCGCCGTCGTCGCCGTCGCCGTCGCCGTCGCCGTCGGCGTCGCCGTCGCCGTCGTCGTCGTCGTCGTCGTCGTCGTCGTCGTGGTTGTCGCCGTCGTCGACGTCGTCGTCGTCGTCGCCGTCGTCCGTCGTCCCTCGTCCGTCGTCCGTCGGCCGTCGGCCGTCGGCCGTCGGCCGTCGGCCGTCGCCGTCGTCGTTGCCGTCGCCGTCGTCGTTGTCGTCGTCGTCGTCTTCGTCGTCGTCGTCGTCGCCGTCGTGGTCGCCGCCGTCGTCGTCACCGTCTGAGCTTTCCGCATACCTCCCTCCCCATCGGGTGACGGTCCCGCCCACATCTTCTCAAGCATTCTGCCTTCTCCTC